TTTTTTTTTCTCTTTCTCTAGTCAAAATTCCTCACAAAACACCTCATTCCTTACTTAAACACTTTCATTTCTCATAAACCCAGCCTAATTTCTCTCTTAGTGCTAAACCCATGTTGGTTTTGCTCCCCATGCCTCATGCCACTCATGCTGAGCTGAAAACCATCTGTAAGCATGCCAAAACTATCTGCAAGTCACTATTATTCTCATCGGTGAAGATTATCCAAAATATCTCCTAAGGTTTCGCTGCCCTTTCGAGGTATTTTGGGGCTTAATTTTCGAACCTAAACGAAAAGGGGCAATCTCCTCAGTCTGCCTTTTGCAACAAGCCCAGCCCATCTGCTGCTGGAAGAAAAAATCCCCTACACCTAGTTACTAGAATGCATGAACCAAAGCAGAGGCCGATTGGGGACGACCCGGATCTTGGACCCAGAGGTGAGGTGGTGGGGAAGGGGGGGAGGCTGCTGGGTTTTGGTGTTAGGGGAGGTGGGAAGGGGAGATGCAGTTGATGAGGATGGAGATCTTGCCCTTGGTATTATACAACGACAATGAGGTTGGTGGCGATGACTTTGAAGGCGGTGTGCACGGAGGGAAGGTTGGTTGGTGGGGTGTGGGAAGAGGTAGTCAGTCGGGGTGGGGTTGTTGACGAAGGCTATGGAGGGAGAGAGAGAGAGAGAGAGAGAGAGAGAGAGAGAGAGAGAGAGAGAGAGAGGGAGAGATTTTTTAAAATTAATTAAAATTAATTTATTATTAATTTTTGGTCCACGTGGAAGCTCACATCATCAAAAAAAGGGGTCCCACTTTTGACATGTAGGCATTTAACAAATTTCCTGACGGTCTCGCTAACGGATGGGGTAATCTGTAGGTTTTCAGTGACGTTGAGTATGTACTCGTAAATGTCCCCAAAATCGGGTATGAACTCGTAAATGACCCTATAGGTTGGGGAGTTTACTTTTACCCAAAATATTTACATTTTGGCTATTGCCATTTGGACTGTTCATTTTTTTCTTTTACCGTTAGATTTATGGAGATTTTATTTTGGTCGTCCAATGGGAGGTAGCCATGAGGTTTTCATTCCAAAGAAAATTCTACTTCAAAATTTGATCATCATATCACAACGGCCAAATCATTCCAACCATCAAACAAAGTCATAGATGTGCTGCTAGTCACTGACAAAAAAAGCCCCAATGGGTTTTCCTGCTTCTACTACCGAGTGGGCTCTACCATTTAGGTCAGGCAGAAATGAGGTTTGATATTTAACTCGCTCAGAGCAAGTTCATCGTAAGGCCTTTTGCCTGGGCAGGACAAGGCCTAGGTCCACAAACGGCTCTAGTGCGCAAGGGCAAGCTTGGGCAAGGCATGGGACCTACCAACCCTGACAAGCCCACATGCAAGTCCAGCCCGTGCTGCTAACTAGGCAAAGTGATACAATGCTGATGTCATAATGACGTCAACAACCAATTTAAACAACAACAAAATTGAAAAAAAAAAAAAAACTAAAAAATTCAGAATTTTTTCAAATTATAAATACTAAACCATATTCTTTACCTCTCACACCAAAATTCTGTACAAATTCATCTCCTCATATCTCATATGAATAGTAATTACCCTTGTCATTTCCCTTGCCCTTGCCCATACCCATAGGGGTGAAAACAAAATTCTAAGGGCTGCCACTATTTATGTAAATAGTGACAATCCTTGCTTTGCCCTTACCTTGCCCTTGACCTTGACCATAGGGGTGGAAGTGCTCTCAAATGCATGCATTAGAGACTCTGGGTTTGCCCTTACCTTGCCCTTGATCTTGACCTTGGTCATTATTTTGCCCTAATTTTATTTTTTGCGAATTTGGATTGATTCAGTCAGATCACCCCCGAAAAAAAGGATCGAGACTGGCCCAAAGTTCCAAACCAAACCAAAATCTCCACTAGTGGTTTTGGACTGGGTTGGATTCTCAATTTATGTTTTGGGCTTTGTAAACTTTTCTTTTAGCAGCCTTGTTGTGTTTTTGTTTGATTCTGTTTCTTCTCTTCCATGGAAACGCACTGTTAAGTTTTTTCTCTTTTCTTCCCAGATGAACGAACGCAGATGTCCAGCTGACTGTAAAATCGAAAATTCATTTTAGACCCAAACCCACAGATGCCACAACTTTCAGCAAAAACTTACTTCTCATGGCTGTTCTAGTTTCATTGACTGGCGAGACCCAATTCATTCAGAGTCTCTGTGCAGTTGTCGTAAAGGGTCAGTGGAACAACATCTTGAAACCCAAGATTGGTTCTAGCCTCAGCTCTGCAAACATTCATCAGGTACTTCTGCAACTCTCACTCCATGGCTATGGCCCTTCTCCTTCTTGGGCTTTCTTCAAATGGGTTGAATCAATTCCCACTTACAAGCACTCATTGCAATGCTGCTGGACCATGATTCACATTCTCACTGAGCACAAACACTTCAAACCTGCACAGCAACTGCTTGAAAAAATTGCTCTTAAGGATTTCTTGTCATCACCGATGGTTTTGAATGCTTTAGTTCCAATCCAGGATGACCCAGAAGTGAATTCACATGTTTTGAGCTGGCTTGTGATATTTTTTGCAAATTCTAAGATGAACCAAGATGCAATTCAGGTTTTTGAGCACATGAGGGTACATGGGTTTAAGCCGCACTTGCATGCTTGTTCTGCCTTGTTGAACTCTTTAGTTAAAGATAGGTTGACTAATATGGTATGGAAAGTTTACAAGAATATGATCCAGGCCGGCGTTGTGCCGAATGTTCACATATACAATGTGTTGATTCATGCTTGCTGCAAATCTGGGGATACAGATAAGGCAGACAGTTTGGTTGGTGAGATGGAATTGAAGTGCATATTTCCTGATCTTTTCACATATAATACTTTGATATCTCTGTATTCCAAAAGGGGTATGCACTATGAAGCTTTGTCTGTTCAAGATAGAATGGAAAGAGCAGGAGTTAGTCCTGATATGGTGACTTACAATTCTCTTATTTATGCGTTTTGTAGAGAAGGTAGGATGGGAGAAGCTGTAAAACTTTTCCGCGAAATCAAAGGTGCTACTCCTAACCATGTTACATACACGACATTAATTGATGGCTATTGTAGAGTTCACGACCTGGAAGAAGCTTTAAGATTGTGCGAGGTAATGAAGGCCAAGGGGTTGTATCCTGGAGTTGTTACTTATAATTCAATTCTCCGCAAGTTGTGCGAAGATGGCAGGATGCGGGATGCAAATAAACTTTTGAATGAGATGAGTGAAAGGAAAGTCGAACCTGACAATGTCACATGTAACACATTGGTTAATGCTTATTCTAAGATAGGAGATATGAGGTCTGCTGTGAAAGTGAAAGACAGAATGTTGGCAGCTGGATTGAAGCTGGATGAGTTTACATATAAAGCACTCATTCATGGATTTTGCAAGGTGCTAGAGATGGAAAGTGCTAAAGATCTTTTATTTAGCATGCTTGATGCTGGATTTTCCCCTAGTTATTGCACCTATACGTGGATTGTAGATGGTTACTGCAACAAAGGGAATGAGGAAGCAGTTATACGACTACCAGATGAGTTTGTTAAAAAAGGTATTTGTGTTGATGTCTCGCTGTACAGGGCATTAATAAGAAGGTTATGTAAACGAGAAAGGGTGGATAGTGCTGAAAAGATTTTCAGTTTTATGGAAGAGAAGGGTATATCAGGAGACAGTGTTATATATACTAGTCTAGCATATGCTTACTTGAAAGCAGGAAAGTCAAGTGTAGTTTCAGTGATGTTAGATGAAATGTACAAGAGGAGGTTGATGGTTACACGCAAGATCTATAGATGTTTCAATGCATCTTATGCCAGTGATAATGACATCATACGTCTATTTTGGGATCATATGGTTGAGAGAGGCCTAGTGTCAAAAAATGTTATTATTAAGGAAATGCAGCAAACGTAAATGAACGTCACAGATGTCGCTGTGAGTCTGATTACAGACTCAATCTTTTCATGCTATAGCACAAACCTCTCTGTCTGTCTTGAAAGGTGTTGGAGACTGTTATAGACTTGGGCCATTCAAATGCACATGCACTCCTGGAGAAGCTTAGAGACAATGGTAAGTGCTTGTAACAGAGTAGTTTTGCTGGTCATGCCTGAGTTTATTTTTTTTCCCTCCTTGTTGATAACCAAGAAAGTTTATGGTATTTAGTCATAAATGTTTTAGTGGGATTTCGATCAGGTAAGAATCTCGTAATGCTTGTTTATCTATTGGAATAGCCCTATGGTCTGGAGTAACTACTCTGAAATACTGATTTTGCTTTCGGTGTGTCATGGCATCAATGCAACTAAGCAGAGTGCTCTGGTCTACTATGGATGGGGGTTTTGAATTACTATCTAAGAGAAGCCATTTTGGGCTGTGGTTAGACTCCGTGGAAATGTACATCCTTGCATGAGTGTAGCATTTGGCTTGAAGTGTTACAATGCATCGAGTTGAGGTGTAGGCTGAACATCAAAGTATGAAGAATGGGTGCCTTCAACATCATATGTGACAAAGTGGATAGATGAATTGGGAATTGTACGGAAGTGCTGAACATGCCAAGCAGTTTCAGAATCCATCATCTTGCAGGTTTAAAATGACATACGTGGGGGGCTTCTGGTTTGGCATGTGTGAAGCACAAGCTATAAATCCTAGCTACATGGTGGTGTTTATAGGTTATTGAAATTTCTGTATCTTTTTATTCATTAGATAATATATAGAATGGAAAGGGAAAAAAAGTTAGAATTGGTAGCTTATGAACTGGGAAATGTTTAAGTCATTGTCCTTCTCATTACTGATGTGCCAAACAAATAAATAGTGAATATTTTCAAACAAACTGGTTATGGTTACAGTCTCTTTTCAGAGAAAATTTCCAGTTAACATTTCAGTCCTAGAAGAAAGTGGGTCAGTGTGATACGAATAGGAAAACAAAAAGAAGTGAAAAAATTTCTGTTCTCTTTGTGCCTAAAAAGCCTCTAGGACAGCTGCTAGTGCAAATATTTCGTAATCTGAACAAGTGCAACAGTCACCATGACCCTTTTCACAACCACACTCATCCCACTTCTTCATCCTTCTGTTTCTCTGTCTTCTTTTCTCCAATTCCACATGGTCTGCTTGAACTCGAACCTTGATCCCTACTTGTAGTTTAGGTGGTTTGACACCTTCAAGAGCATGCCCGCTTGTTGAAACCACTGAGACCCACTGGTTTAACTCCATGTTTGGTGACTCAAGGACTTCCTTCCATTGAACCTCTGCCCTCCCCAAGAGTTGTGACCCCCCAATTCTGCCAAAAACTGGCACAGTGCTCCTCCAGCGGAGCTCGAAAACTATGCTTTCTTGCTTTAGGCAGCTGTCCATGGCATCCATCTCGCTTCCAGAGCACTCCAACGAGATGGACTCGTTCCAAACATGGTTAGACTTGGCGGAGATTTCTCTAGTGTTGAGCCTAATTCTTCCTATCTAACAAACAGGTTTCCTGTGGTCTTGAACTCAGTGTTTTTGGCTTGTATGATCCTCAACTCACAGCTGAGAGAAGAAAACTGTGATGAACTCATTATGTATGTGTTTGAGAGAGAGAGAGAGAGAGAGAGAGAGAGAGAGAGAGAGAGGATTGATGGATTCTTTGGTGAAGAGAAGTAATGTGGCTGGTTGGTTATATATAGTGATATTGGAGGGAAGGTGGAATTGCTTTTTGAGGAAGCTGCTTTTATCCATTAAATTACTAGTGTGATTAGAGTATATTATGATGAGTGAGCCGGATCAGAATGGTATTATTTTAGTGTTATATGGTTCATATTGGGGGATCAATGAGAGATTGAGTGGAAGATTTTGATGACTTATTATAAGCCCCTTGAGATTCTCCAAGAGCTGGATAGATTCATAAAAACGACCCTTACAAGTTGAAACACTAGTGTTGGTCTACAGTGCATATAAATTATGGAGTGCTATGTGGGTTGTTCTTCCACTGCAAGATCATTTTAATTTCTTGGTTGGATGCTGCAAGATCATCTTTACAAAAAAAAACAAAAACAAAAAAACAAAACCAAAAAAAAAAAAAAAAAAAAAGAGAATCAGCTAAGTTATCTTATTATGGTGTTTATTTCAGCCAAATTAAAAGCATTGAGCTCGTCTATTTATCTAATTTCTGATTTCGGCCAGTGGAGTATAGCTCTATTGGCTGAGTTCTTTCACCTCCACTTATGTAATGGAACATCCAATGAATATTTGTGTAAAACCCCTTCCCCAGTCCATTTTACATCTCATTTCTCATTTCGTCATTCATTGGAGAGTTGACTCCACAAAAGTGTTTCCTCAAATATTATCCACTATACTTTGGTCTCCAAATTTTGTTTTGTATCAAAAAACGATAGCAATGCAATGGGATAAGGATGGAGAGATGTATATGAATAATGGATGAGAGTATCACAGCCATTACAACTATGAATCTGGACTGGACATTCGGGTAATTACTAACGTGATCTAAATTCACGGTTTATCAACATCATATTTTGTTGTCAGATTATACCCGTCCAGTTGGTGATCTCTTTCGTGGGGGCAGGGCAACAAGAAGTGAGTATCTTTTTATTAGTACTTTTTATTTTGGATAAGAAACACTAACTTACTCAAATGCTCACTTAATGGAGGAAGTTATGAATTGAGAAAGTTAGGAATATGGAAGAGAAGGAATAAGTTTGACTCCTCGCAATATGAGTAGAACTCATATAATTTTTGCTGCTTATGTGGTAGTAAACGAGAAAGCATGAATTAAACCCTAATACCCATGTGTTAGTTGACATAGTGAAAATTAGGAATATGAATAATTCCAATACATAACTCAATCATAAGTGCTATATCCTTCAAAGGAAAAATAAAAATAAAAAAACTTGATCATAAGTGCTTTTATATATTAAAATTTACCAGATTCCATAAAATAAAATAAAAATTATCATATTCAATTTGGATTGTACGTGGAAACAAAAGTCTATTTAGTTAACGATTGTATGACAACATAACATGTCAAATAATCTCAAAAGTCTATTTAGTTAATGATTGTATGGCAACACAACAGGTCAAATAATCCCAAAAGAGAACTTGCCCCACAGACACACATAATTCAAGTAATTGTGCTTAAACTCACACATCAATATTCATTCTATTCTCTTATAAAAATAATACTAAGAATTCATTCTAGTCTCTTGTCATTGGCTTTGGACAACTTCAAAGATCGCCTTAGATTGTCTAGCCAACTGGCTTGGGTTTGCCACCGAGAACTGATAGTGCTAACTAAATACTTCTATAAACGTATCTACTTTGTTGGACCATTTGAAGTCGTACAAGTTGTGTAACAAAACAAACAAGGGTTGTACAAGTTGAGAATAATAAAGCACCATAAGATGAACTTGAAGTGGACAAATAAAACCTTAGGAAAATCTAGTATCCTAAAGTGCGCAAGAAGATTTTACTTTACAACGCAAAAGGCTTAACGGGAGAAGGACTGCATTCCCTTGAAAATCCTGACCACGATCCCCACTTTACTTTTGTTATATAATAATAGGAGCTTTGCATAAAGGAGATTTGAGTTCTTGATCCTTTGGATTTTAAAATAATGGGGAAATTTCCATGGTGATCAATGGTTGAAGTGTTGGAGGAAGAGAATATGGCTCACACGTAGGAAAATGATAGTTATGGTTCTTAACTTATCAATATCCATCTTGGGTTTATCTTCATCTTCATATTAGATTAACTCAATCTATGGTACTTTTGAAAGACTGAGGAAATGGGAGAAAAGGCCACACCAGTAACTCTGGTGTAAGCACGTATTTATATTGCTGTATTGATATCTTACAATTCAAATTACAAGAGCTGTTCCAATAAACAAGGGATCAGCTCAATTACAAAAAAGCATTATCAGCATATCAACTATTCAAATTCAAATCCACAACTGACTTATCAATAACAATATGCTTGTGACTTGGATTGGGTCTAACA